TCGTCACTTTTGAGATCCTTGACAACATTCCATAATTTCTGGCGTTCTTCGAGCTTTTTATAGCGAATTGCGTCCTCGAATAGTAAGAAAGCTCGTGAGGGTTCGCCCAGGTATGCGAATACCTTCCTATCCGCCAGGTATCCATCGAGAGGTATTCCTTCGTACTTCTCCAACCGAATCGAAGTTACTGTGGTTGGGTCATCGCTGGGCATAGTGATCGACTGGTAGCCATTAGTGAGCCGAAAGCCGGCATATTCTTTGGACATCCTGTTCGTAAGTCGGTATTGCGTTGTTTACGCGTTAGACTGGGGACTCTGCTACGAGTGGAGAAGTCCTTCCTTCACGCTATCCTGCTCTTTATTATAATGAGGACTCGTAGTGTTGCCAGCGACTCGACCAAATCGCGACTGACCCTGAGCGACAGGCCGCGACTGCGACTCACCAAATGGTCGACCACTCTCGACTCGCATTCATTCCCACCTCAACATCCCAACTGCTCTCTGGAGAAAGAAAGAAAAATGCTATTCAGCATTTTATGGTATACCTCATTAAAATTATTCACTTTTTTGGATTTAAGCGGCCCATTATAGGTCCGATAAGAAAATAATACTATAATCCGTCCAGACTTCGGCCGGGTCGATCAGAGACGACACCAGCCCCAAGTTAGGAGATTAGTTTCCTGATAAATGGTTATGATAAGGGATCTTCCACCACCTTTTCTTTGTGCGCGTTATTAGGCCAAACTCGGTATCAATTCTGAGACATGAATTTATTGCGTAGTGGCTAGAACACGTCCATGATTGGACTACTAGAGGGGTCTGGTTCAAATCGCGACACCTCGGATGACCTGGACAGAAGGACTGGTATAGGGATGGATTTTGACGGACGGGATGATGTCGCTCCCTCCACGCAAAGTCAGTGGTGGCCCGCTCCAAAAGTCGTAACGGTGCGGTGCTGGTCGAGGTCTTCTACATCCTCACGGACGCACGCCTCATTCTATACTCTAATGACAACTAAGTCCGCATTCATTCACGAATTTACCTCGGCTTTTGGACAGATGTCTGGCAATAAGTAAATTTTGATATTTCATGAATCATTTTATTTTCAGCTCACACATATTTACTTGTGTGTATTTATGGCCACTGAAAAGTGCGGATTGGACACCAAAGATTCATTAAAATGAATTTCGAGTCTTATCAGGATGGCCTAGAGTCATCTGTGTAGTTAACATGGGGTATCAATAGTTTCCCTGCCTAAATAGAATTCACTATAAAGATGAAAATATGAAGATACTAGAAAGGTCGTGCCTGAATATGGATTGACTCCAAGCACACCCGACGATGCGCACACATATGCCGGTCAATCCAACCCATAAAGCCGCCAACGAGCCCTTAAAAGTTTGCTAAAGATCTATAATTGGTATGCAATAGTAAAGTGTGGCATAGTCGGAGCTTTTCCGACCTCGAAAGGCGCTCTCAGTGGTCGTCCTTCATGGATTCTATGTGTGATTATTTATTACTAGTTATGCTACCTTATATCTGATTAGTTTAGACATGTGGTAGGCGGTG